ACGCTATGTGTGAAAACTAACACTGCACATCACTCTGAACACACCATCCCCACTGTCAGATATGGTGGTGGCAGCATCATGCTCTGGGGGGGCTTCTCTTCAGCAGGGACAGGGAAGCTGGTCAGAGTTGATGGGAAGATGGATGGAGCCAAATACAGAGCAAGCTTGGAAGAAAACCTCTTGGAGTCTGCGAAAGACTTGAGAGCGGGGCGGAGGTTCAGCTTCCAGCAGGACAACCACCCTGAACATAAAGCCAGGAAACAATGGGACGGTTTAAAACAAAACATATCCATGTGTTAGAATGGCCCAGTCAAAGTCCAGATCTAAATCCAATCGAGAATCTGTGGCAAGATCTGAAAACTGCTGTTCACAAACGCTGTCCATCTAATCTGACTGAGCTGGAGCTGATTTGCAAAGAAGAATGGGCAAAGATTTGCACATCTACAGTCTGTAGATGTGCAAAGCTGGTAGAGACAGACCCTAAAAGACTGGCAGCTGGAACTGCAGCAAAAGGTATTGACTCAGGGGGCTGAATAATTACACACACCCCACTTTGCAGTTATTTATTTGTAAAAAATGTTTGGAATCATGTCTGATTTTCGTTCCACTTCTCACGTGTGCACCACTTTGTGTTGGTCTTTCACGTGGAATTCCAATAACATTGATTCATGTTTGTGGCTGTAATGAGACAAAATGTGGGAAAGTTCAAGGGGGCCGAATACTTTTGCAAGCCACTGTATGTTTGTGGTCAAGTCAAATGACACAACTGCAAAGCTCTGACAACACCTTAACTGCAGCCAGTGTAACTTAACATTTGGTCGGTTTTTGACCTCACCTGGCATATTTCACCTCACATACATGAGGGAGAGCAGCTACAGGAGAAACACTGAGCTGTGATAACACAAGAGCAAATCTATTAAGTCAATAAGGTAAATGCACAAATTCAGAAAATAAAGACTCTTGGGTGGATTTATTTAAAGTTATTTGAGCATTTTTTCTGTCAAGCCTGATGTTGCCTTAAATATAAAGCAGCTTCCTCACAGTGACAAATGCAACCTTTTAAATAAACACTAGTAACAGATCAGGACTTTATAACAGAAGATACACAAAGCTGATTAAGGCTATCCTCTCTCTGACATCACAGAGAGTCAAGAGTAGAAAAAACAGTGAAGCCTGAGCTCACAGGGATTATTGTACACTGGCTTTATTATTTGAAATGTTGCCATGTTTAATATGAACATCCACCTCTGTGAAAGTAACAAAAAAGGTAAAGCCTAATGGGTCCACTGTAAAATATTTCACAGTGGGTGGGTGGGTGGGGGGGTGTTCAAGATCAAAGTCATCCAGTCTTATTTGAACTAAAGAGGAAAAGTAGCTGAAGTTTGAGGGTTTCATCAGAGAAAGCAGTCGAACAGTTTCCCCAAACATATCGTACGATAGTGAAAGAAAAAAGCGTACAAACTAACATTTACAGGCATCCGTATTACAGCAGTGTTGTGCTGTGGCTTTAAGCAGGAGCAGCATGCAGAAACAACGTGTTAGAGCTGTTTTACACCCTTTGATGATGATGATTTTTCATATATACATATATATATGTAAATTCTACTTCTCTTCTGGTTTGTTTTGGGGAATTCAGAAATTTCAAACTTCCTATCTGGAGGAAACAGATGTTTCACATCATGTGACTTTGTTGACTGCAGCACTTTACAGGAAAGTAAAAGATGCAGATCGGACGGGGTTATAAATAACACTCATGTCATTATTTCAGTGTGTGCGCCTCATACTAGGAGGCATATTGTTTGAGAGTTTTAATGCGACCAACAGCAGGTATGACCTCAGAAAGACACGCACGAGGACATGTGCAGCAATTTAATGTAGTGGAGAGAGCAGCCCATATAGAGTAGCGGATGAGTCATCGCAGCCTCACAGGGAGGGCTCAGCTCGGGCTTTGAGCATTTTTCAGAATGAGCGGTGGAGCCGTGCAGAGCTGGATCCATCCGCATTTCTCCATTTCAGATAGACACACCTAGACTGTACATGCCTAATTGTCAGCATATGGCCAGCAGGTCTTAAAAGATGACACTGTGCATGTGTTGTGAGGTCAGGCAAACAGTGTTCTTTTTTGCCTGCCTTAATCCATTTATCCTTTGCACAGATTTTAACATTGTAGGAAGCTCCAAACACACACACACCTGGCTGTGATATGTCACACTCTGCCCCCTGCTGCAGAACTGCTGATGGATAGTGGAGGAGGAAATCTGCAATGTGACAGGAAACTGCAGAATTTGCTGTCTCCGCTGAGATTGTGACAGCAAGATTGTGATGGACGTCGGAACAAAGGGATAATTACTGGATGTGGGGAGTGTGATGTACAGTATGCAGCATAATTTATGTAATTATCTGCCTCCAACTGTCTCTGATTAATCATTTATTAATACATTTAGTGATTGAATCCATGGCTGTCTGTGTGTAAACACTGCTGTCACTGCTATACAGTTCACATATTGCACATAAATGACATTTATTTGTCCCAGAGGGGAAGTTTGATTGCAGCAGAAGTCACCTGGCATTTGTATACACCACATAAAAATAATCCCATCAACTCTGGAATCCTCTGTGCCCAGAGACCGACCGCAAAACACTGTGTTCCAACATTCAGATCATTGAGGGGCAACACAAATGCTACAGCAAGGGGGAGCAAGGACATCAGGTTAGGGGGAGTGATAATATCACCCCCACTCAAGATTGGGTACCAAGTCCCAAGTACTGAAAGATAGGCTCATGGCGAAGCTGGAAGCCTGGACCCTCCGTAGCCAATTACCAAGGCTACGTGACGTACTCTCTGAAGGTCTACTAGAAGATGTGAATGCAGCATCAGGGACAATCCCTACTGCGACCATCACTGAGACTAATCAGCTGATCTACACTATGGCAGCAGTGATGAATGGCTACAAGATGAACAGCCACAAGGAGGAGTACCCCCCACGGAGAAGGAGACTAGAGGCCAAGAGCAAGGCAGTACTAAGGGAACCTGCAAGCTGCCCATACCCGAGACATCGATTCCCGCATGCACACCACTAGGACCTACAGCAATGGCATTGGATGTCATTCACACTGGAGAAGTGTAGTTGGATGGTAACAAAGCGAGGAAAGGTAGGCAGAAGTGAGGGGATCGAACTACCAGAAGGCAACATTGCAGACACTGAGGACAGCTACAAGTACCTGGGAATCCCACAGGCTAATGGGAACCACGAACAGGCTGCTAGGAAAGCTGCAACCACCAAATACCTGCAGAGAGTTAGGAAAGTCCTGTATACCAAGGGCTGACAGAAGAACCCGAGAAGATGTGGAGGATGAAGGTGACAGTGGTCCCCGTGGTAATCGGAGAACTCGGGGTAGTGACCCTCAGGCTGGGCGAGTGGCTTCAGCAGATCCCTGGAATAACATGTGAGATCTCTGTCCAGAAGAGCGCAGTCCTAGGAACAGCTAAGATACTGCGCAGGACCCCCAAACTCCCAGGCCTCTGGTAGAGGACCCGAGCTTGAAGAGGGCAAGAGGGGAATTATATATATTTCCTAATTGGCCTTTGGCTTTTTGCCAAGCCACCATGTAACCACTTTCATGGATAAAGAAACATTTCTTTGATTCTGCACCATCTTATCTCATGGTGCCATGTGATATTACACAGAAGTTTAGCCAATCTTCAGTTGAACTTCCGTTGGTGTTACATTCATACTGGGGGAAACAGAGCAGGGCTGCAAGTCCAGCACAGCTTTAGCTTTTCTCTCACCTTGCTGCCCTTTTTTTACAAATTACAAATGCCGTCGTCACATGTGAAAGCCACAGTTTAAACTGAGAATAGATATTTAGGGCTACTTAATAATTAAACAATCTTGTATCGTAAATGGGCTGATTCTTATAAAGCGCTTTTCTACTCTACTCAAAGCACTGTATACAACATGCCTCATTCACCCAATCACACAAAGTGACGCAAAGCAACTCTTTCCTCGTGTACATCCTTTAATCTCACACTCAAATGTCTTCGGTGCATGGCTCAAACAAACAATTGGCCTCGCTATTTCAAATAGTGTTTTGTTCCATCAATATTATGATTATTATTATTATTATTATTATTATTATTATTATTAAGTGGGGGTTATTACTGAAATACATGTGTGGCTCTTGCGACTCATTTATCTGTTGAGTTATCACCTACAGTAACTGTGCTTTTCTCCTGAGCTCTAAATAGCATTTCTGTTCCTCTCAGCTTACTGCTTTAGTGTTCGCGCCAGGAAACTTCAGTCTTATCAAACCTTTGTTTCTGTTTTCAGAGAAAGATAAACAGCACTCATACATCCACAATATGATGCTGCAGCATTCTGGTACCGCAACTGAAAAGCAATAACAAGAAAAAAACAGGTCACTCCCACAACTCAGTATTATTACTGTGTTTGTAAAGGATGGCCTTTAAATATCTGTAAAAGTCTAACAGTGATGTCTGTATGTCTGTGCAATAATTTAGGTTGGACTAAATCCTGGGTGGGAGCAGTGATGTAATGAAAACTAGCAGTCTGTGCACAGAAATAAATCAAATGTATGAAACTATATGTCACTGCTGAAAGATTACAACCCCCTCTTTAATAATCAGGTGCACCGACCATCACAGTGTGCTCTAACACACTGGTCATCTAGTGCAGAAACGTGTCTGGTGATGCTTATTAGGTGAAATCTTCTGCTAGTGCAGGTTTCTTTGCAGTAAAGTCAAGAACTGGCTGTAGCAATGCATTCTACCCAGTCTGGGCAGAAAAAGAGTGTTCGCAGTCTCTTTCACAGCACTGGGCAAAGTGGAAATGAAATGCAACAACACATCACCAACTTGTGCTGAGTGAGGAGAGAAGAAAAGACTCAGTGTTTGCCACTTTAATGCTGTTGCACATTCGTTTTTTCTCATCTTCCACCTTCCATGTTTTACTCACTGCTGGTGTCTTTCTCTCTTCCAGGCTTCAAGTGCCCTGTGTGCTCCAAGTTTTTGGCCTCAGATGAGATGGATCTTCACCTTGTGTTGTGTTTAACTAAACCCAGAGTGACATACAATGGTAGGACTTCCTTTATTGCCTTTACAACATATACTAGCATTTGAAAGTATGCTGTAGCTGAATGCAAAATTCCCCTAGATAAGAAGAACAAGCAGTTATGAAGGGTCTAAGTCAGGGGTGTCCAACTCCAGGCCTCAAGGGCCGGTGTCCTGCAGGTTTTAGATCTCACCCTGGGTCAGCACTCCTGAGTCAAAAGATTAGTTCATTACCAGGCCTCTGGAGAACTTCAAGACATGTTGAGGAGGTGATTTAGCCATTTAGATCAGCTGTGTTGGATCAAGGACAAATCCAAAAGGCTGCCTGCCCAGAAATGGGATGGGTCTACTAAGAACAAGGGTGTCCAACTCCAGGCCTCGCAGGCCGGTGTCCTGCAGGTTTTAGATGTGTCCTTGATCCAACACAGCTGATCTAAATGGCTAAATCACCTCCTCAACATGTCTTGAAGTTCTCCAGAGGCCTGGGAATGAACTAATCTTTTGACTCAGGAGTGCTGACCCAGGGTGAGATCTAAAACCTGCAGGACACCGGCCTGTGAGGCCTGGAGTTGGACACCCTTGTTCTTAGTAGACACATCCCATTTCTGGGCAGGCAGCCTTTTGGATTTCACACTGGAGTTTCAGCACACAAAACCGTCGTATCAAAACATGTATTTGCTCTGCAGTGAGTGTTTAGGCCATTTTATAGAATCTCATGGCTACCTTCAATGTACAGGCAAAATAAGGGGAAATCTGAAAGTAGACAAAAGTGCCTTGAACTGAGTTTAACCATGCCTGTTTGTTGTGTAGTTACAGCAGATTCTGTGTGTTAAATGACTCCCACGTCCAAGTTCCCTGTGCGTGTTTGAGCTCCTCGTTTAACGTCTGAGGCTGAGCCCAGTTTTTCAGCCTCTGCCACATTCTGTTTCTACCTAGAGCTCAGTATAATAGATGATCTATGGCCTCATGAGTATTTTAGAAGATGCAAGTAGGCACCATGATTTTACCTGCTGGTCAGTGAAGACCTGTTTTTAAAGCCTTGACCTGAGCGTTATCAGCCGTCTCGGTGTTTTGACAGCAGATATAATGACTAAGGAGTGGCTCTGACTGTGACACTGACAAAGCACGCTCACTGCCTAACACCTTTTGACAACTTAGCAGCCAACTTACCGTACCGGATCATTCTACTGTCTGCAAGCACGTGCAGAGGGGGGGGCTAGAGGGGCTTGAGCACCCGCCCCTTTCCCGATGGGTGCCCAAAGTGCCCTTTTGTTGAGGCAACTTTTTTAAAAATAATTTATTTATTTTTTTATGTGTGTGTGCGTGCGGAGTCCTGTCTGTGCCCCTCAACAATAATATTTAACTATTAATCACAGTTTTGCTAAATAAAAGGATCTGGCTTGCATCAGTCACATGATCACATTTAACCAATGATCGCCCTCGACGGCAGAACGCGCTGGTTACGAGCCGGGAACGAGCTCACAAAGAGCACGCGCATTTTTAGCGGTCCGGAGCTGCAGGAGAAACACAAGTTAACTCAGAGACACAGACTGATGCGACAAAACCAGTAAGTAGGTGTACAGCGCACACTGTAGTGTGTAGCACACAGGAGTAGCTTATTACGTACACGTTGGTAAGCTGTCTTGTGGCAACTGACGAACTGAAACAAACGAGCGTGCTGTGTGTGCAACAGCACGACAAACATTACCTGTCCTTTTATTAACTGCACAGGCAGTGCTGGTCACAGCTTCTGGCTACCTGTGTAAGGCTGTCATGGGTCTGTAGCTCTGTCACCGTTTTAGGGAACATATTTAGTTTTAAAGTATTTAGAAACATATTTAGTTTTAAAGGAAGTTTCCGGGCTTTTCCTGCCTTTCTGGAGGGATTATATTTCACTAAAAAACCATCTAATATGCATGTCCACATAATTATGCATTATTATAATATTTAAAAAAACACACTCTGTATTTTAAAGAACATACATTAAGAAGCAGATTATATTAGATTTATATTTTAAATAAGACAAAATGTGGATGTTACAGCAGTAAAATGATTGTATCTCTACAGTTTAAACATGTAATAAGCTTTGCCCTGCACAGAGTGGATAGTGAAACAAATGCAATCATCATAAATACGTTATTTCATATTTATTACTTCCCCCTCCTCTTTGCTTTATTATTGTAGCTCTAGTAATAAATAATAATGTAAGGATTCTGGATCAGCACAGTGATGCCCATAGTATATACAGTATTCAGAAGAAGGTCTAAAATGTCACTGTGTGTGCATGTGTGTGTTTTATTTAGCTGGATTTAAAAAAATTATTACTCATGATATAACATTGTCCAGACAAGCCTGGTAAGGACATGAGGAGGAAACAGCAGAGCTGTGTGAGGCTACTAAAGGCAGGGCTATAACATTTTTCTGTCATCATTTTATTTTAGATTAAGTGCAGGAGTTGTTAGGTGTGGATAATTAGATTATAGTTTATTGCAATAGCAAGTTGTGCCTTGTTCTCAGACAGCAAGTGCAGAGTGATATATGAAATGATGGGATGGAAGGAAGAAGAGAAGCAAATAGTGATTCACAGGCAGAGCCTAAATTATTTCTCACAGTTTTTTGTGTCCTTATGGTTCCAAGTGCTGTCACCAATCTTTGCATTTTGTTATTATCTCATGACACTTGTTTAATCAGCTACCATCTCTCCTGTGGACTTTTTAATGTCTACAGTCTCAGATCAACACAGCCCTGCCCTCCAGCACTATCCACAGCAACCCCTCAACAGCAACATTGTACTGTGGCTGTAGCTCAGGTGGCAGAGCAGGTCAGCCACTAATCAGAAGGTCGGTGGTTCGATCCCAGGCTGCCTCCTGGCTGCATGCCAAATATCCTTGGGCAAGATACTAACCTTGTTTGCCTACTGGTGGTGGTCAGAGGGCCCGGTGGCGCCAGTGTCTGGCAGCCTCGCCTCTGTCAGTGCGCCTCAGGGCAGCTGTGGCTACAATGTAGCTTGCTATCGCCTGTGTGTGTGAATGACTGAATGTAGTGTAAAGCGCTTTGGGGCCCTTAAGGACTAGAAAAGCGCTATACAAATGCAGGCCATTTACCATGTACCCATCAGGTAAAACATCGGCGACGTTTGCTTTGCCTTGTTGCCCATATTAGATTCTTGATGAATGTGTGTTGTTGTTATTCAGCCTGGTTCAATGTGCCCCTTTTTAACTTTGAGCACCCGCCCCTTTAAACCTCTCTGCACGGCCCTTACTGTCTGCCTCTTATAATGACCATAAGCAACAAAAGTGAACTTCGTGTTCGAAGCACAGGCCGAGGGGGCGGTGTGGCAGCAATTTTTCACACCAGCCTATTAATCAACCAAAGACCCAGACAGACTTTTAATTCATTTGAAAGCCTGATGCTGAGCCTCGTCCACCCCAGCTGTGAAACTCAGAAACCAGTCTTACTTGTTATCATCTATCGTCCACCTGGGCCTTACACAGAGCTTCTGTCTGATTTCTCAGACTTTATATCTGATTTAGTTCTGAGCTCAGATAAAATAATTATTGTGGGTGACTTTAACATCCATGTAGATGCTAAAAATGACAGCCTCAACATGGCATTTAATCTGTTATTAGACTCAATTGGTTTCTCTCAAAATGTAAAAGAACCCACCCACCACTTTAATCACACTCTAGATCTTGTTTCAACATATGGCATAGAAACTGAACATTTAACAGTGTTTCCTGAAAACCCTCTCCTGTCTGATCATTTCCTGATAACATTTACATTTACAATAATTGATTACACAGCGGTGGAGAGTAGACTTTATCACAGTAGATGTCTTTCTGAAAGCACTGTAACTAAGTTTAAGAATATAATCCACCCACTGTTATCATCTTCAATGCCCTGTACCAACACAGAGCAGAGCAGCTATCTGAACGCTACACGTGCTGATGCAACACCTCTCTACTAGCTTCTCATCACTCGTGAATAAGATCCAGAGATTCTTAAAGTTACAGTGCGTAAAATGTCACCACTAGATGTCAGTAGACTGCAGATTCAGTAAACTGAATTCTGTTTTCTTACCTCTCACAATTCAAGTGCATAAGCCTAGCTGAGGTGGCCGCTTATAAGATGTCACTTTTCCACCCCATAGATAAAAAAAACAAGAGTTCCTGCAGCCTGATTCTTGCTTTGACTTCTAATGATCATGTACATAAATGTGTATTAAACTAACTGTACCAAACCAAAATAGAGCTGTCAGACTGAAATAACTAAAAGAACCTAACTGAAGTTATGTGAGCTTAATAACGTCACTCTCTTCCTTCCAGAAGGCTTATAATTATCCTCAAGATGATCATCAGTATAACGTTAAAAAAAACTTTTATATGAATTAGCCAGTCAGCTCCCTGCTTATGTAACAGGTTCTTCCTCCTGCAGTCTGAGAAATTTAGTATAATCTTCATGTAATATTTCCCAAACTACATAGCTGTGGTTGCCTGAGGGCTGCTTCTCCTTGCATTTAGCAGAGATCTCTTCTGTATTTAAGGATATCACAGCCACAGTTAGTGTGGCTGGGGGAAATGTTTCGTTGTTTCCTCTGCTAAACATGAGTATGGGCTTGTAAAATACTCCCCACAGTGAAGTTACAGGAAGCTACGAGATGCAGTCATGTTTCCCTGCAGATTTGACAGATGTGCTCTGCTGCCACTGTCAGCAAATGGTGATCTGTTTTGATAGATTTCTTAATTTGGTTTTCTGAGCTGAGAGGATCTTATTACTGTTCCAAAATAAACATGAAAACTCGCTTTATGTAACAGCATTGCCTACATTTAAATGATCATTTAATCGCTTAACCCAGAGGTTCCCAAAGTGTGGGGCCCGCCCCCTAGGGTGGGCGCAGAGCCATTGCAGGGGGGGCATGGTATGAAAATTTAAAAAACTCATTAGGTTGTGTAAAATGCTTGGACACTGCTAGCATCATGGACAGGTTTTTGATGGGGCTCCCACACAAACGCAAAGCAGAAGATG